ATCTATGTGCCAAAATGTTGCCTTGGGCCAGGGCCGACCCTGTATCCCGTAAAACTTAATAGTATGGGTTATATTGAGTTCCAGTAAAGCTCAATATTATATAAAGATATGTGTTCCTTATTTTTAAGTCGTTGGAAGCGTTGTAAAGGGTTGTAATCTTGGCCGTTCAGATCCAAAACTTGTATCTATATCTAATGCAGACCAAACATGCTAATCTTGCTGTAAAAAACAACAATGATAAGCCATGTAAACAAGAAAAAATAACACAAATATACCATTAAAATTAAAGATCGAATAACCCATCTCACCTTCGTGATTCCAAAGGCCTCAAATCACATACTGCGGCTTGGTACAAAGGAAAACTTTTTTGTATTCAAGGAAGAGTATGAGAAAAAAAGGGGAGATAGAATTTTTCAGCAATGTGTATGGAATGGAGAAAAATTTTGGGGGAAAATTAGAAGATGATTGGAATTTGAAGAGAAAGACGGTTGGAGAAGCTGAGAAGGAATTTGAGGGGTTTTGGATTGACGCAAGATTTGGGCTTTTTTTAGAGGCCCTTTATAGCTCGAGGCCCAAGGCAGTGGCCTTACTTGCCTTGGGCTAGGGCAGCCCTGGATCTTGTAAAACTTAATAGTGTAGGTTATATTGAGGTCCAGTAAAGATCAATATTGTATAAAGATATGTGCTCCTTATTTTTAAGTCACCGGAAGCATTGTAAAGAGTTGAATTTTACCATAAGTCAATCAATATAGTGAAAGGCCTTACTCATGTTAGAGTATTTGGTAACGGTAGACGTAGATAATTGTTTTGGATCGACCTCTACAATTATATCGTTTGCATCATCTCTTCTCGTTGACTTATCACTTTCATATTTGTACTTATTATTTGATTAATCTACTTAGTCTTTACTTGCTTAAATTTATATTAATTTTTTGAGAAAGTTTTAAAAACAAATTCTATCTTCTCTTGGTTAGTTATTCTTTGGCTATCATATGTCACCCCAATATAACATGCATAGAACAAAGTAAACACATTATGTAACTGAGGGAAAGGAGTTGTCCTCGGATCCCTTTTAACTATTCCGTCAAATAGCTCAACCGTTGCCCTAGCCTACGCTGCACACCTTGAGGCTATTCGCAATGGCATTGTCAGGATTCAAGCTTTGAGAGATCAATAGTGCAATTAAGCCCTAATAAATCCTTTCAAGATTTTTTTTTTTTTTTT